CTACTGGATTGTCCTGTTGCTGCCTCTACTGGGTTGTCCAGTTACTGCCTCTACTGGGTTGTCCAGTTGCTAACTCGGAAAATCACGACTTCCAAACGTGAGATCACTGCTCGTTTTCCTCCACGTCTACTCGATCATTCATAAAAATTAAAAGAAGCATCAATGCGCTGTTTGGTCTACATGAAATAGAAATTTTTCATACGCTATTAAATTAATTCTTTTAAGCGTAAATTGCCGGATTTTTTGTTTTGTTTTTCGTTTCCATCACAAACCGTCGACCAATTAAACTAAATTATTAAATTGTAATGTAATTTCAATAGGGATGTGCCATTAAAAGCAGTTTTACAATTGAGTTAATACTTTTTCCGCGGGACTAATGGAATAGTTCATGAATAAACATCGCTGCATCTGATGATATTAATCGTTCACTTTCAACTTGTTCAGCTCATTAGTGAGTCTCTAAAATTAAAATAAATCTAACCTTCGTGCTGGCACTCACTTCTTGTATTTTATGTAACTTGTAATTCTCATAAATATACAAGCTCATCTGAACGACAGGAAAAGTAAAATAAGTAATCTAATAATTTTTTAAATTTAAAGTCAAATTTATATACTCAGCCTTCCGAACTCAATTTCAATTTGTGTACTCACAGCACTTCAATTTTTGTACGTACAGCACCTCCATTTTTGTACTCACATCACTTTAATTTTTGTACCCACAGCACTTCAATTTTTGTACTCACATCACTTTAATTTCTATACTCACAGCACTTTAATTATTCTACTCACAGCACGTCAATTTCTATACCCACAGCACTTCAGTTTCTGTAATCACAGCATTTCAATTTTTATACTCGCAGCACTTGAGTTTTTGCACTCACAGCCCCTTCAATTTTTATACCAATTAGCACTCCAATTTCTGTACTCACAGCGCTTAAATTTCTGTACCCTCAGCACTCCAATTTCTCTACTCTCAGCACGGCAAATTGAAATGAGAGTGAGACAGGATACTCAGAGCTGCAAATAATTTGGATCGTATCGATTCACTGGGGGCCAATTGGCAGATTCGGCGCCGAAGAGCCAATTTTCAGCTTCGATGGGGAATTGAGAAAATGAGATTTAAGTGACAAGCGTGATTTAATGAACTAAAACATTATAGTTTGAAAGGTAAGAGTTTCGTGCGCGATTATTGCTAATCAAATCTTTCAAAAACTGGCTGAAGTTATTTCCGGTTCCACTGTAGTTGCGCAATTCGTCCGTCTTTTGGTTACAAGGTTCACGCTGGTGACCAATAGAGTGGCTGCGTTCTCTCCTAGCTTTTTACTGATCAGCGTTTACGGTTGTAGTGGCCGAGAATTGGTATCGTGAATTTTGTTTAAAAGTCATTCATTTTCTTACCTCAGCTACCTGTCTTTCATGTATATTAATCAGTTGCCGCTATGGTTCCTCTCTCGATTTTTTTCTTAATGACGGGTAAGCATATTGTTTGATATATTGGAATGCCGTCTTTCTATTTTTATGTTGCTATAAAGTGCTGCGATAATACTAGGCATGAACTGGCTCAGCACCTAAGGCTGAGACATAAATTCTTTCAATTTATATATCTTCCCTCGTGTAGTTCGGATTAAAGCCGGCCTATTTTGCTATTAAGTTTGCTCTGTTGCTTCTGTGATTTCAGGATAAACTTTCAATTTATTTTTTTTTTGTGGTTGTTCCAGGTGTAAGTGGGCATCAGAGTTACCACTTCGAAAAAGGCGCTTAAATTTTCCAATGGACTGAAAGAATTGAAAGTCACGAATTTTATATGAGAGGAAACCCAAGTTTTAATGTAGCCGAGGATTTCTCGCTTGTCGAGAATACACCTGGGGACCAATATTTCTACTGCGAAATTAAGCGTTTATTTCAATACTAGAAGTTGTTTCATGCGTTTCGTATTGCGGTTCAGTGGTGTCAGTTAAATGCATTGGGATTTGTGTTCGTAGCAGTTTTTAACAGTTCTCCTTGTTAAGGGCTTAAAGTTTACCTTAAAATGATATGCAAAAGTTTTTGAAGCTCCAAATAAAACTTTGTACCCCTACATTCTAAAAAGTTTTTAATGTCACTGTCGCGACATTTTTAATATCACTATCGCGTCATTTTTAATATCACTATCGCGTCATTTTTCATATCACTATCGAGTCATTTTTAATATCACTATTGCGTCATTTTCATATATCTATCGCGTCATTTTTAATATCACAATCGCGTCATTTTAATATCACTATAGGGTAATTTTAATGTCACTATCGCGTCATTTTTAATATCTCTATCGCGTCATTTTAATGTCACTATCGCGCCATTTTCAATATAACTATCACGTCGTTTTAAATATCACTATTGCGTCATTTTTAATATCATTATCGCTTCATTTTTAATATCGCTATCACGTCACTTTTAATATCACTATCGCGTGATTTTTAATATCACTATCGCACCATTTTCAATATCACTAGCGCGTCATTTTAATATCACTATCGCGTCACTTTTAAATCACAATCGCGTCATTTTTAATATCACTATCGCGTCATTTTTAATATCACTATCGCGTCATTTTTAAAATCACTATCGCGTTATAAATTGGCGTATAGCCTACATATGTTTGAAGCTCTCCCACAATAATATAAAAGTAAAAATAAACACGGAATATTTTAAATTTGTTGATAGATTGCAAGATTTTAAACAAATCAAACCACACTGTTTTGTATGTTCCTAATGCATTATACTGAAATTATATATTAGGTCGTAAAATATGTCCGTACGGCGGGTCGAGGGATGAGATCGCTCATGACTTAAGTGGTCGATGTCCACAAATTAATTTCTTTAAACTCGAAATAAAGTTCATAACAATATATAATTTCATCTGAGATAAACCATTTATTTGGAAGAGATTTTGTTATCTCTTCAGATTAAACGATTCATTTACCACACCGCATTGGCTTCCCCTTATATCAGAACATTTTGAGGACTTCCATTGCCCACTGGCTTTCGTGGAATTTTTGTTCACAAAGTTTTTTAATGAGTTCAGGAAATGCTTTAACTCGTGGCTACTACAATCGAGGCCCTGGAAGTTAGGAGCTTCAACTTCTATAATAATACAAAAAATTGTGGCAGCTGCCACAGCGAGAAATGCCCAGAAGGCAGCAATGCCTGAGGATCTGGGTTACTAACAGCATAAAGTTTAATAAGAATGCAACTTTTCAAATTAAATGTTACGTATTCATATGGAAGCGCATTTTTCTGATATTGATTCGCAATCGAAGTTTTGGTGCAGTAATTGTGCAGTCATGGTTATCATAGGAAGATACATATATAAGGTAGTTCTTAATTTGAAAAAATCACAGGAATGACACTCAATATAAACTCAATGTGCTGGGTGATAGATTACTTGCAGCTCAGAGTATCCTATCTTTTTAGCGCATTTTCTCATTTATGGAAAAAATGCACTATTGTGCTCGCCATGTCCGTCTGTCTGTCTGTCTGTCCGTCCGTGACCGCGTTTCCGTCGACGAGAAAATGCGCTCTCTGTCACTCACTGCAGTGAGTACTGAGTTATATTTTTTCTCATTTCAATTTGCCGTGCGGTGAATGCACAATTTGAAATTTAGTACAGAAAGCTGTGTACAGGAATATATGAGGGAAAATAAATCAGGGTACTGAGATACAACCAAGAATTTTATCAGCTAATGTACACTAAAGGTGGAAAAGTATTATGCAATATCTGTGCGAAGGCGATACAATGATTTTTCATTGACATACCTGATTTATCAAACCATTCCGTGCCTGTGCAAATGAATGTTTACGATGTTTCTCTTCAATTGTTATCTTTGTGGTACCACTAGGAAAGTTCGGAAAAAACAAGACGTGCCCAGCAATAGGAAGGAGGAACGGAAAAAACATTAGGAGTCAAGGATGGGCGCATAGCGCATAATTGGGTTTGCTGTATGTGTGTGGAATATGGTTGGGGCTTGGGAAGGAACATGTCCGGGCTTTTGATGGTTTGCCGGAAGAGAGATGGAAGGGTTTTCGTTGGAATGGAGAGGTGGAAAGGGCCTTTCTTTATTATAAAATCCTTATACAATTTTTCTTATTATTAAAGAAATAGACTGTACCTTCAACTGGGATACGTTAAAATTCATTTTTTGAAAATAATGATGGCATTTACACTCTAAATACATGCATTTCGCATGCGTCCAGTGTTTGTGGTGGCAGTTGAGGCATTTTTTATGTGTGATGATGCATTGAGTGAATGTCGGGGGATGCGCATCCAGAGCAGGATGGTGTTGTGGTGGTGCATGTAGAAGTGAGTTGGGTGGTCTTCGGATAATTATAGCACTTTTAGCATATGTGGACATAAGTGTATTTTTTTCTATTCACACAGTCAGTGCGTGACTTGAAGAAATTCCTCGCGATTCTTTGTTTCCGAGCCGACAACAATTTTTTAACGTGATGTTATTTCAAGAGGTCAAATCAGATTAAGAGAAATGTTATCAAGGAATGACAAGTTATTTTATTTGAATTGACCACCGTTTTTTATAACTATTAGGAAATCAAGAAGTTCATCGCTTCTAGATATTTGATCGCAATTACAAATCTATTGTTAATTTCGCCAAATTTTTAAAGGTATGATACAACAACGTAAATTATTTTGCCATGAACAAATCATAATTAAGCGCAACGATTATCCCCTTTCCTTTATTATCAAATCCTTTTATAATTGTTATTCTAATCATGAACAATAGTTTGTACTTTAACTGGGATACGTTAAAATTCAACTAAAATTTTTCTCATAAAATGGCTGCTATAAAAAAAGTGATTTTTTCTCCCTCTCTTCTTGTTCCGCAAATTTACAATTGATTAGTCTAATCCAAAACTGCGAAGAAATGCCTACCTATAATGAATGTCAAATTTTTATAAAATGTTTCACGTTTTTATTTTCAGGAGCTTGATCTTTCGTATGGGTGGATACATCCGGACAAGCAGCAGCGGACATCACAGCTACCTATGTTGGATATTTCTAATTCAGCAAGATCTGAATATCCATCATATTTTAAATCTACTGCACAAAATCATAATACTGAGGGATTCCCAAAATTCTACAGTAAATATCCTGCACTCTTGAAAAATGCACCAGGACATCAGGATCGTGCAGAAATATTTATTTCACGCAGCAATCGGCCTGTTCCTTATACGGAACACGTCAAATTAGATCAGTTTGATGGTCAAGACTATGCAGATATTCACACACGCAGTGAAGTCAAAAGTTCTCATGATAATCGTCAAGCAACAATATTTTACCAACATGTATCTAGATCTTTAAAGAACTTCAATGACTATGAACCTGATCTTGACTTTAAAAACCACGTCATGTCATCTGGCTCGGACTCTTACAGCGACAGCTTTCGGGATTCCGAGGCACAATTTCCTCGATCACGCAAGATCAAACATCTTCTTCCAATCCAAAGGGACGGCATTGCTGGAAAATTTCTCCCCGATGAATCAGGCAATTTGACAAACCCGACGGCTGAAGGATTGATCAACAGCACTTTTCACCTTCACGTTGGCATCGCATCGCAAGAAAAAGGAGGAACCTACACGTGTAGTCCACGCGGAGGAGAGAACGCCACAGTCTCCGTGCGCGTCAGACCACGTGAGTACAACTATATAAATCAGTTCTGAATTTCGCTCTCAATTCAGTACGTATTAAACAGAAAAAATTATGATTAGGACGTCACCGCTGGAGTCGTACTACGTGAAATTATTGAGGTTGATAATATATTTTTTCGTTGCCAATGATTTTGAAAGATTTTCCCTGGTAAGAATTAAAGATTTGATTTCATTAAATCCATATTGAACTGCCTGAAAAGAGACGGAAAAACAGTTGAGTGCTTCATTATTTCACCCAGATTAGTATAATTTTAATAATGAAATTTCGCAAAATAATTTAGAATATATCTTCATGTCGGAATTTTTATGAACTTGCAATTTCTTGATTACTTACTATATTCGAAGGAAATTGGTTGCATCAGCCGAATGAAAGACATAACCATCCACTTGTATTATTTTGAAAATTCAGAAAAAGGTTAACGAGAATTTACATCATCTGGGTGGATTTAAATTTGAGAACGGACACAAAAAATGCCACTCCAACTGACATGATTCACTTCTTACAACAAAAATTTCGGATACATAAATTATTAAGCTCCTCAGGTTGGAAAGAATCACCATTATTACGAGCTCTAGATCTTTTTAGCGCATTTCCTCCTTTATGGAAAAACGGCGCAATTTCGCTCGTCATGTCCGTCCGTCTGTCTGTCTGTTCGTCCGTCCGTGACTTCACGGACGGACGAGAAAATGTGCTCTCTGTCACTCGCTGGAGTACTGATCTAATTGGAATACTGATCTAAGTACTGTCACTCACTGGAGTGAGTACTGATCTAATTGGAGTACTGATCTATAAGTACTGGAGTACTGATCTAAGTACTGTCACTCACTGGAGTACTGATCTAATTGGAGTACTGATCTAAGTACTGAAGTACAGATCTAAGTACTGTCACTCACTGCTGTACTGATCTAATTTTTTCAAGTACTGGATAAATACCGAATTATGTATTTCTGGGCAGCTGACGAACGACTTTTTGAACAAGAACTGAGGTCATCTAGCGGTGCCAGCCTCTTCTTGTACGGCTGCAACGGCTGGATGCTTGTGGCCGTTACCTTCTTCGCCATCTTAAAGGCCATCATTTTTTCGCTTAACTGGTATTCCTAACCATTTTATTATGTAAATTTTCGTAACGCGAGCCTTGTGTAATTCATATTATAAAACTAGTTTTTAAAAAGTATATTGTATTTTAATAATGTACTCTAAGTCGTAATTTGGAATAAATTTAGCTATTTTTTGGTAACTCTTCAACACCAGTAAAAATATACACGCCCTCTGTCGTCACCATAGCAGTAATGAAGCTTGCGTCTTTTCTTCGCCTGGTCTGACATTCAGTGAGGAACCACACGCCATTTCAGGAAAATATAAATCTCCTTCAATTAAACTCTCCTAATCAAATTTCTGTCCATAAAATTATCAATCAGATATTATTCTGAGCGATTACCATAAGCTATAAGCCTTTTATCAGAGATCGACCTATATTCGATGTTCTCCCAAAGTTTTATTAATGTTTTCTCGATGTTATTTGTAAATTTATCATGATTACTACATGTTTATGACATTATATCATCAATATTGAACGATCCTTTGGTGCAAGATTGTTATTCTTTTGTCGCATGAGCTAATTTCTGACATTATGTTGAACTTTGTTTTCGGTTTATCGGATCTACCTATGCTTTGTATACGAATGATAATTATTCTGTTGTAAATAACCAATATTCATTGATACGATCAATGAATAATTATATTGTTTTACTGTTGTTAGCCTTCAATGCATCGAGCGTGATTCAATGTAACCAGTAATCAACAACTAGATTATGATATTTATAGGTTTAAGTCACTAAAAAACATGCCTTATAAAAATAATTTGAGTTAGGTTTACAGAAAAAGTTAGTCAGGCATTATACTGAAGTAGTCACGCTTAATAGCGAAATCATTAAGGCTGGAAAGTTCTTATGAAAGCTGGTCTATTGGTGAAATAGGTCAGACTTACTAATGAAGTAATCAGACTTACTAGTGAAGTCAGTAAGACTTACAAGTGCAGTAAGTCAGGTCTACTGTTGAAGTAAGTCAGGCATTATAATGAAGTAATCAGGATTACTAGCGAAGTCAGTAAAATGTACAAGTGCAGTAAGTCAGGCTTAATTGCTGGTGAAGTAAGTCAGACATACTAATGAAGTAATCAGGCTTTCTAGCGAAGTCACTTAAGATTCCAAGTGCAGAAAGTTAGGTCTACTGGTGATATAAGTCAGATATACTAATGAAGTAATCAGGCTTACTAGCGAAGTCAGTAAGACTTACAAGTGCAGTTAGTCAGGTTTACTGGTGAAGTAAGTCAGACTTACTAATGAAGTAATCAGGCTTGCTAGCGAAGTCACTTAAGATTACAAGTGCAGTAAGTCAGGCATACTGTTGACTGGAGTCGAGTTTACTTTTTCATCAGAACAAAATACCAGTAAACATCAAAAATCATTTTAAAAGACTGCAGGTTTATTGACTTGCTTTGTTATTTTTGGCCGTTGTAACGTAAAGCGTTGTAAATTGACCCTTAGTCCACCGTGGGTCAGTGTATTTAATGTTATATTTAATTGTAAAAAATATCTCAGATGCAAAAAACATTTCTCATGTTTATGTGGCTGCCAATATTTTCTTATCCTTAAACAATCGGATGAATTTTTTTTGACGGTTATGGGTTAAAAATGTACTATAATTTATTTCCATTCGTTACTATAGTTCGCAATCTTTTTGACGTTAAGTGCACGAATAAATATAAAAATTATTCATCATTTGTTTCATTCCTCAAACTATTTTAAACTCAAAAGTCACCGACCAATGTATTCTTGAAGAATGGAAGTATATATGAACCTTACATGTTAGGGAGCCTATATATAATTAACGCATCACATCTAGAGGTGTTGGGGACGCGGTGCAATTGTTTCATTAAATAGTAGATTGTAAATAATGTTTCGCTTAGTGCTTTTAGTTAACTCTGACGTTAGGGTACACACACAGTGAAAGCAGGTTGCCAGCGTGCTGGTTACCTGCTCAGGCTGGCGCCTGAAACCATAGAATACAGAAGCCTATTCGTACAGGTTTTCACTGTGAACACTTACATTATTATCCTATGTTCATTCTTGTGGCAGGTTGGAGCAGGTTGCCCGCGCGGGCAAACCTGCTCTCACTGTGTGCGTACCCTATTACGTTGGTAATGCGCGCTTTATACTTTGCCGTAGTTTCGTAATCGAACAATGGATTTGACTAGGGAAAAATGGTTTACATTTCAGCATCTTTATATTAGAAACTCATTTTATTGTTATAGTTTATATTCGTCACTTTTATTTATCCTTACCTTAAATAGTTGAATTATCGGCAGTACAATCACGGTATAATGTTTTGGGTCAATGAAGGCATTTTTTCTATTTATACATTTCATGGGCCCCATCAGAAGGCCATATCTGATACATTGGATGAGCCCTTCCAGTCAGACTCCTCTGCAACTTGTCTGAAAATTTTTTAAAAACGCAAATTATTTTAGCTCAAAATTTTAGAGAAAATAATGCCTTTTTAAGTATATTGATTATGTACGTTTAATTTTGATTTTGATATTTTAAACATGCAAATAGCCAAAACGCAATGTCTGACCCTCCCTCGCTGCAGAGACGTGATGCTATCCAGAAAAATATTTTTATAGCCGCAACGTGGCTAGGACGCGGCCGTCATGGGGCCGAGATGTGGCCAGGACGCGGCCGTCATGCGGCCGAGACATGGCCAGGACACGGCCGTCATGCGGCCTAGACGTGGTCGGGACACAGCCGGGACTTGACTGGGACACGGTCGCCGTGACGCCGCCAAAAGCAACCAACTCCACGAAATAAAAAGCTTAAATGGTTTACATTTTAGCATCTTTATATTAGAAAGTCATTTTATTGTTGTAGTTTATACTCGTCACTTTTATTAATCCTTACCTTGAATAGTTGAATTACCGGTAGTACAGTCACGGTATAATGTTTTGGGTCAATGAAGGCATTATTTTTCTATATATTCATTAAACGGGCCCCATCAGAAGGCCATATCTGATACATTGGATGAGCCCTTCCAGTCAGCCTCCTCTGCAACGTGCCTGAGATGTTTTTTAAAAACGCACATTATTTTAGCTCACAATTTTAGAGAAAATAATGCCCTTTTTAAGTAAATTGACTGTATATTTTAATTTTTAATTTTAATATTTTTAAAACGCGCAAAAGAGCCAAAACGCAATGTCTGACTCGCCAGGAAATATTTTGCGTAGGAAATGCTCGCCAGGAAATATTTTTATGTTGCTAAAAACATATCACTCAAGGTAAATTACGCAATTGGAATCACTTAAACAAAATACCTAGGACAAAGGTTCACCAAAATAAATAAACGTGAATTCACACATTTTATTAACTAGGTCCCCACATGCGCGACACATGCATTAATTGTGCCATGCATGCAAGAACTACATTGAAATGTGGAATAGAATTACAGTGTTTACTTCTAAATCTGTAAGACGGAAAAAGAGTCTGGTGAGTGCACAAAAATCAATATACACTACGACCAAGTATCGGAGCGTAATCTAGGCCTGTGCATTCGTACCATCAATAATTTAGGAATCAATTTCCCGGCACTTTAAGCAGTGGGCGGCCGAGACGTGGCCAGGACGAGGCCGTCTTGCGGCCTAGACGTGGCCAGGACGCGGCCGTCATGCGGTCGAGACGTGGCCAGGAAGCGGCCGTCATGCGGCCTAGACGTGGCCGGGACGCGGCCGTCTTGCGGCCTAGATGTGGCCAGGAAGCGGCCGTCATGCGGCCTAGACGTGGCCGGGACACAGCCGGGACTTGACTGGGACACGGTCGCCGTGACGCCGCCAAAAGCAACCAACTCCACGAAATAAAAAGCTTTGTTATGTCAGGCGCAGATTGTTGGCTTTCGACCGGGAACGGAGCTGGGGGAAGAGACTGCACAGAATAGAATCGTAAATACTTATGAATAAATAGATAAATAAATGGAGCACAACATTGCTCCTAAATGGAGCACAACGTTGGCCTTAAATGGAGAAAAACATTGCCTTAAATCGAGCACAACTTTGGCCTTAAATGGAGACAGCACTGCTGAAAATGATGACGAAAATATATTAAACCACAAGTAAATTCTACGTTAATTAAATATCTGCTTCTATATATCTCCCATTTTTCAAGTTTTTGAAATTAACACTTGTTTGATTAATTACTTAAAAATCGGGAGTTATTTCTCAGGCTTGAAAACAAAATTGATCTCAAATCCACAAACAATTAAACTGAACCACGCATAACGAAATCAATTATCATTATATAATAATATGTATTCGATTTAAGTAGCAGCAAAACCATGGAAATGTGTTCGAGGAAGCTGGACGTCATGTCACACGATGCGCGGGATTTGTTACCATCGACGCTGCCTGCAAAATCTGTGATCTAGCATTTTTTAGTTGCCATTTTCCTGTTGCGACGCGCATTGTTTACAGTCCACAAAAGAAAAAAACTGTGATCTAGCATTTTTTAGTTGCCATTTTCCTGTTGCGACGCGCATTGTTTACAGTCCACAAAAGAAAAAACCTCTTCCTATTTTCTGCTCGCAACCGTAAAGCGCGCCATGAAACCACTGTTTTGCGGCATAAATAATAAATCAGTCTGATGCAGGCGAACCTGGAGCTGTCGAGCTCAGGCAATTTTTTATTATTCGCGCTGCTATGATTATTTCGAGCTCGGCTGCCTAATGGGCTCGAGCTTATGATTTTGAAATATTAGAAGGCGACCTGACGCTCAGCAAAATTATGTGTGTTATTACAATGTTGAAATGAATGGATATTCGCGGACATCAGGGAAGTCATCAACCTGCCTCGAAGAGGCATCATTTAAGCGAGGCTTTTAACTGGCATTTGACTTTACATTTTCTAAGAATATCTTCTCGTATCATCAGAACGCTGTGTTCGCAGAATGAAAGTATCGCGAACGCACATCCGAATGGTGAGAACTTGCAAACGCTTGCAATTTATCTCAATTATACCAGCGGGAATTCTCAGTGCACACAAAGTCAATGATAATTAC